GACAGCAGAAGAACCTGCAGCCGCAGCTGAGGAACCGGTGGCTGCAGCACCCGTTGAGGAGGCTGCAGCACCCGAAGCTGAACCAGAAGCAGTCCCAGTTGTGGAACCGGAAGCAGAGAAAGCAGAGGAAGCTGCCCCTGTATCTGAGGAACCAGAGAAAGTTGAAGAGTAAATTCAATGGTTGATGAATGACGGTTTTTTTTTTATTATTGAAGTTTGGTTGTGTTTATTTTGCTTCTTAGTTGAGTATTTTATTTACTACTATTATTACTATATTTTAATATAATATGGTTACAATGAGGGCATATGTTAGTATTAACATATGTCTAGGTCTAGGTGGTCGGGTGGGATATTTTACATAGTTTTTTTAAAGCTATGTTTGTTATCTTGTCCAGGGTTCAGTTTATCATGGTTTGATTAAAGATGATATGAGATTTGATCTCTGGTTATGATAATAATAATAAAGGGGTAATATCTTTTTTGTTGTTTTATTAATGGTTTAATATCGGAAACAACCTCACAAAAAATTATCTAGAAGTCATATCACCAAAATATTTAAGGGCTACACATAAAAAACTGAGAAAATCGATTAATTTCTGTAAATTGGCGCCTAAATGTCCAAAATGAACTTTAAATTGGGGAGACTGTATGAACTGTTCCCCCAACTCCCTACGGAGGGTTCTGTAAAGGTTTCACAAAGAAATGAAAAGTCACAACCCTTTGAAAAGATCTCATTGGAGAGGTCACAAGTGTTCGAAAAAATTACAACCTTTTGTAAAAGTCACAATTTTTTGAAAAAATTTCAACCCTTTTAACATTATGCTTTTAAATAAATTTAATATAATATAAAATATAAAAGATATACTAAATTGGATATTTTAAGTTGGGGGTATTATCATAAGTTAACATTTAACTTAGGGAACTAATGATTTTAAGAAAGTATATATATATATATACCATGGATATTTCTCGATTTTTTGTGTGAATTATCCCATGGACTTGGCACTTTGGAGCACCCTAATTTTTTTTCTAAAAAAACTTTATTAGGCCTCCATAATGAGTTGGGAAAACATTACACGTATAGTCACACCATTTTTAAGGCTCATTTTTGCATTTACCAGCCAACTTTTAGGAATTACGCATCTTTCCCAGTTTTTCGTGTGTTAATGCCCAAGGATCTGGCGCCTTGAAGCATCTAAATTTTTTTTCTGAAAAAACTTTTTAAGGACCTTCATAATGAGTTGGGGAAACATTATGTATAGTTCCACCATTTTTAAGGTCCATTTTCGTATTTACCAGCAAACTTTTAGGAATTACGCTACTTTTCTGATTTTTCGTGTGTATTAGCTCATGGATCTGGCGTCTTGGAGTACCCAAAAAAATTCATTTTTTATGAGGATGTAACATCTCGCAATTTGAAATAGCTAGGAAGAAGCTAAGAATTGGAAATAGTCATTTTTGGAAATAATCAAAATCTGGAAATTTGTTTAAGATAGGAAAAGTTGAGTTTTGGCCAACTTCAAACGGCCATAACTTCTAGCTCAAGATGAGTTAGAGGTACTTTCAGATATGGTAGGAAAGCTCTTGGAATGATATTTCTAACGCCGCTGAGTTTGCGCGATTTAGAGTTCGTATGAGTAAGTTATACCCTTTGGAAGTTGGGCTGTTGGAATAATGAAAGTCCAATCCGGATTTTGAAAGGGTAGTTTGGTGTTTTCCTTGCCCAATTATTTTATTTCGTTTTTGGTAATTAAGTTAGGGTCTAATCATAATTAGATCAGTTTACGCTTTTACCAAAATACGCTAGGGCTTGGAGAAAAGACAAAAGAAGAGGAGAAAGGAGAAGAGAAGCAAGATTCGTTCACAAAACATTGGGTTAGTTCATCCACGCGCCAAACATGTTTAATTCAGCGATTTTCGTTCTAAAAGAGTTAGAATTTGTTGTTCTTGAGTTGTGTTCTTGAGATTGCTTTCATTATTGAACTTGTGTGATTGATGGGCTTTCTTGAGATCTTTTGGCGATGTTAAGAGTTGTTTTAAGTTGAATTCTAGTATATATGCTTGGGTATCTGAATCTAAGAAAGTATTGAGATAGAAATCGATTTAGGATCAGAAAACGAATTGAAAAATTTGTCAGACACACCTGGGATGGGGCAGGAGCGGTGCGCCCCATCTGCGCCAGAGGGTCTGGGGCAGCGCGCCTGTAGTGCGCCAAAGTGATCCCCAAAAAGTTGGGGCCTGGCACGGCGCGCCCGGGATGCGCCCAAATCATCGTCACCAATTTTCGTCGTTTAGCCTATTTAAGTCATTCTAAAGTGTACTAACACTTTCCATTGATTCTAACTACTCTAAAATGACTTCTAAACAACTAGAAATCATCCAGAAACATGAATCATAACCTTGAATCCATCAATTCAAATTCAAGGAAAGTCTAGGAAGTTCTTAGAGTCTTTTCCAAGAAGTCTTTTGCAAAATTGCTTTTAACTTTGTTTCAAGACTTAAAGTTCAAGTTGAGTAAAGAGTAAAGAGTAAAGTTTGAAGTTCATTTCTTCAAAGAAGTATATGGGGACAATGTATTCCCAAAGAGTTTAAAATGTTTTCACATTTAAATAAGAACAAAAACTGAGATTTCCAAAGAATCTTTGAGCTAGTTTTCAGAAAAGAGTAATCGATTTCTAAATGAAGCAAGAGAGGAAACTTTGATTTCCAACATAGCCTTTGAGCTAAGTTTTTGAGCAATTATCTCAAATCACAGAAAGAAGTATGTTTTTAAACATAAGAGCTAGTATCATATTTTGGGAGTGGTATTGAGCATCAATATGGGGAAGAGTTCAGACAAACTCTCATCCCCCGTAAACCATGTAGCCATCATGGGTTAAAAAGTGTCATACTTTTTAGATGATTCCTTTAGTGCTTTTTAGCATAGACTAGTGGATCCACTTAGTAGTTCAGGTTCTATACCCTCGGCAAGGTATAGGGTGTCCATGGGAGTGTGAGGCAAAACGTTGTATTGTCACAATAGCTCTTACGTGATGGTTGTCGGTTAAAGAAACTCTCACATAAGTAATTGTATTCTTATATACACAGTTTATTGTATTTTTACATACATTTCAAAGTTATATGTATCTTTGCATACACATAGAGTTGAAATCATATTTTAAACAACTTTTCTTTATATTGCACTTGTTTTAAACTGCTTTATATTGAAATGAGTTCAGTTATGTCGAGTTGAGTTGAGCTAGGTAAGTTCTTTAGATTCTTTTCAAGCCTATGTTGTGTTTAGCATTCCAACTCACATTCTCGTACAATCAATGTATTGATGTCAGTTGGCCCGCATCTTATTATGATGCATACACAGGTAACTAGGATCGGCATCCGACGCATTGTTGATCCAGTTGATCATTTCAGAGTCATGTGGTGAGCCTTCTTGCTTTTCGGAGGATCCCTTTTATTGCTTTCAGTATTATTATCAGTTCATTAGGATGTCGTGGGTTGTCCCGACATCCATCTCAATTGTTTTAGAGGATTCATAGATAGTCAGTCAGACGTTAGTTCATTTGTCATTATCTTGTTATTGGCTTATGATCAGATTTGAGTTGCCACTTTGGCTAAGTTAAATGTTTATTTTCTTAAAACATTAAGACTTCAGTTTTGAGACCTGTTGAGTTATCTTGTATTTGGATTCTCTTTCTTATGTCTAAGTCATCTGCTGAGTAAGTAAGCCAGGCGAAGGGTTCGCTTGGGGCCAGCAATGGTTCTCAAGTGCCAGTACCGCCCAGGGTGTAGGCTCGGGGCGTGACAGAGGACCTCCGTAATGAGTTGGGAAATCATTATGTGTAGTCCCACCATTTTTAAGGCCTATTTTTGCATTTACCAACCAATTTTTAGGAATTATGCGACTTTCTCGATTTTTCGTGTGTATTAGCTCATGGATCTGGCGCCTTGGAGCACCCATTTTTTTTTCTTTTTTGAAAAAACTCTGTTATAAGTTGGTGAAGCATTACGTATAATCCCACCATTTTCTAAGACTTATTTTCACATTACGAGCCAACTTTAAGGAATTACACGGCTTTCCCAATATTTCAAGTGTATTAGCCCATGAATGTGGCGCCTTGAAGCACCTAACGAGCGATACCAATCAACATCTTTAATATCAAAACATAGAATAACTTCTTAAACACAATTTAAGCATAGGTGAGAAAACCTTCCACCCATGTGAATCCGTATGTGAGAAATACCTTTCACAAATCATGATCATAGTCATATGTGAGAAAATCCTTCCTAATAACATTGATACTTTCCTCTAAAAGCACCCTATAATCATAATCATCATTTTCATAAGACATGCGTAATTATTTGGGAAAGGTATTTCTCACATATGGATAATCAAACTCATGATCTAATACACACGAAAAACAAAGAAAGTTGTGTAATATCTAAAAGATGGCTTGTAGATGCAAAAATATGCCTTAAAAATTGGTGGGAGTATACGTAATGCTATCCCCAACTCATTATGGAGGTCCTCATAAAAAAAATTCTGAAAAAATTTCAGGGTACCCCAAGACACCAAATTCATGGGTAATACACACGATAAATCAAGAAAGTCACATAATTCCTAAATATTGGCTCGTAAATGTAAAATATGTCTTAAGATGGTGGGGGAATTGTCCAGATGAAGGTCCTTAGAAATGTTGTTTGAACTATTTGCCCTTCGTAAAAAGATTTTGTTTTAGACAATAAAAAAGTCACTATTTTTTTCAAATATTATACCTTTATTTTAATGATATTAAATATCAACTACGATGAATGTAATAAATATTAGATAGTTTTATTCTTATTACAACTAAATTCCTATATGAAGAATCTTTTTTCAATTAAAATAAACTTGATCCCAAAAAAATAGCCAAATAACCTCCAAATAATAAGCAAAAAAGCTTTTTAAAAAACGTCCAAAAGTAGGCCAAAAAGAGGTCTTTGAATGTGTTGGTAATCCTTTTTAATAAGGGTTAGCTCTCCATGTTCTTCTTATTGTTTTTATTAATTAGAGACAAATGATTATTATCACAATATTGAAATAATAATTATTTGAAGATATACATGTTAATTTTTCCTAACTGAACCGGCCAATGCACACCCCTATTTCCTATCACTCATTTATGCACATTCTCTTACCTGCTAGGTTTTCGATATAAAGATAGAGTGAACAACCAATGACTAATCACAATCAGAAAATTTTTGATGCAATATTTAAGTAACAATTAAAATAAATATTGTATCTAAACTAACAGTACATTAAAACAGGTATCAACCATCCAAACAAGGTATTATTATAAATTTAGAACAAGTAACTTTGAAGAACTAGTATCATGTTTATAAACTCTGAAATCTTGGTTTCGCCTCTGCCTCTAATCACACGGTACCAAAGCTGGATCCAATATCTCCCTGGGTGATTATCTTGAGTTGATCTTCCATCTCTGTCATGGATTGATAAATTGGAAAGCATAGTTGGTAGAAGCAAGTATGTGAAGATGGCAAGTAATCATCAGGCTCTAGGGTTTTGTGGATGGACAGTCTTGAATCAAGACCACCAAAGCCCTCAAAAGGCAGAGACTTAATTGAAGTCCAGAAGAAAAGGAGCATTTTTCTCTGCTCATCAGACATAGTCTCTACTATCTGCACGCAAATAAAGAAAAGTAATTCATATCGATGTAATGAAAGTGAAGGATCGATGATAATGACAGAACATTCTGAATAATCGATGTGTTTATCAAGCAGTCAAGCAGAGACTTACAAAATTATGTTTCAATTGTGTTGTTTCTATTAAATGTGTGCTACCAGTAGAGAACATGTTGTAGTTTGATTTTTCTAAATGAAGTTTAATGACAAGTTTAAGGGGTTATCGACATATTTACAGGTAGACAAGAAGCGCGTACCTTCCAAAACTAGGATATTTGAAGATCACTTTCTTCATAGGCATTGTAATCAGTATGTGCTTTCCAATCTTCGACAGAAATATCACTTCTACCGCCAAGCATTAAGTTGAAATCTTTATGACTAAGACACCAGAAGAAGGACCAAAGCCTTGACTTAGTTATTACATCTGAAAATCCTTTTGAGAAATACGCGACCTGCTCTGCTATTGATGTTATATAGCGATATTGGATAAGAAGATGCACATAAGTCTCCCTATTCTTGCTGTCCACAACGATATCTTTCCCGTTGGGACAGAGCTCTATTTCTCTCCTCACACCCAATGACTCAACTTCACAAACAAATGTTAATGCTAACACGTCTTGATCCACTATCTTTGCATCCTTCTGCAATATCTCCTTGCAGCTACGGTACATGAATGGATCTGTGTCCCTAATGTCTTCTAATAATACACCATTTCCAGCTAATTGTAAGAAAAATACACGATAAAAAACAACTCCGATTTGTACATCATATGCTAAGGCCAATGCAATCATCCTTCCAGAGAATTGAAAATACTCAAGATGTAACAGATTCACTTCAGATGCTGCAACAAGCACAAATGGTAGATGAGAAATATTTATATTCTAAATAAAAGGAAAAAAGGTCAAATATACCTCTCCCTCAACATTGAGACTTAGAGAGGCTATACCTTTGTTGAAAAAACAATCTCTTTTCTACTCACTCATAAAATGATTTGGGGTCGGGTATGAGTATAAGAGGGATTCGGTGGTTTTTAGTTAGGTTGGGTCTGGAGGGATAAAATAAAATGTGTGAAGAAATATTTTTAAGACACCTAAGACGGTTCAATGTATCTATGAATCCTTTGTTAGAGAACTATGGTATATATGCACCACTGATTAGACAATGAAATTGCGTATAAGCACCACTTCTTAGACAATGAGAGTAGTGTTTGGTATGTGAAATATTTTTCTAGAAAATGTTTTCTTGGAAAATAAGGTGGTTTCTAACTTATTTTCTCATGTTTGGTTGGTGAGTGTATAATATTTTCTAATATTTGTTTGATAAATCATAAACATTTTTCGAGAAAATATTTTTGTTGTTTGGCTAGAGAGTAGAAAATACATTATCAAGAAATAATTTCTGATCCAGAAACCAACCTTGATAACTGATCCAGAACCCCACCCCGACATTCAGACTGAGGACCCCAATGATTGATTCAGGTTCTGACCTTGACAAATGACCCGAGACTAATCTTGACACCTGAATCGAGACACGATACTAATGATAAATATGATATCCAACTATGATTACTGAATTGAGACCGAATTTCGAACCAAAAATTGACCGCAACACCGGACCTAGAATTCAACCCTAACACCTAACCCTGACGACTGGTCTGAAACCTGACATCGACTCCGACTAGGGACCTGGCTTTCAAACGGGAACCAATCCCAACACCTAAATCTACACACGACCTCAACAACCAATTAGGATCCAATCTCGACACTCGACTCGAGATCCAACTATCTAATCGAGACTGACATTTGAACTTGATCCTGATTTTCAAAATAGAACCCAGCCTTACTTCCGACCCAGGACCAGACTTCCAAATTGTGTCTTGACCTGGACTATCTACTCGGGGTTTGATGTGTCATGAACCTATGGCACATTCAACGCCCAAAACAGAAGATTATTGCAAGTAACCAAGTATGTTTTTATCGATATAATGTTTTTTGGTGTAATGTGCAAGAAAAGATATTTTGGAAACAGTTGAAAGAAAAAAATCTGAAATGGAAATGAAGTGGCTAAGGACGGATGGTCATACTAGTTGTGGATCTATGTACGGTCTATGAACCTAGCTGTGAAGATTGCCTAAGCGAGGAAAAAGCCAAGTGCAAGACAACGAGACCATGTACGGTCTGTAGTGACTTGTACGATAAGGCTATGAGTCTGTGAATCTTCAGACTAAATGAAGTCTACGTCCAAATCTAAAGGAAAGTTGAACAAGACTTCATACGAGCCGTGGAGACCTATATGATTTGTATTGAAGCTCATGGGAAGATGAGACTAAAGTTGAACAAATTGTTCTAAGTGAAAAATTACGAAGGGATTAACAGACGTGAAGAGCTTCACGAGTTGTTTACCCTCTCATGAACGACATCAACTGGATTACTTTCCTACTTCAACTGAGATTCATCTCTGAGACTATAAATCGTTACTTAAGATTTTATTATATTATTATTCTTGTTTTTTGCTTATCTTTGGATAATTAATCAACATTTCGATCTTAAGTTTCAGTTCCTAATCGAAACTGAGTGAACTTCATTATCTTAAGTGTTTCACTTTTGAATCTTCGTTAATGTTTCACTACTATTTTGTTGAGAATATGCGCAGCTAAACACCAGAACTAGGGTTGTGGGAACCATGACTATGTAGCAACTGTATGATCAACCACGAAGGGTTGTCGATTGATTCATTGCAAGCTTCGTTTATATTTTTATTTTGATTGCTTTCTAATAAGTGAACGCGTTAGAATCTTCCTCTATTCATCACTTGCTCGAGTGAGAAGGATATGATTAGGGAAATCTAGAAATGAATGAACTTTATATTCTATAAACTCGTTTTGAAGATTTGATCATGAGACGAAAAAAAAATTAAAGAAGAAAGCAAGGGTTGATAATGTACATACTCTAAGACCGAGATGAGAGAAGTGATATTCATCTAATAGGGCTGAAAAGCGTTTAGGTATTCTTAACTTGCTACTAACATATACTTAGCATCAAAAGACCTTTACTTGTATGACATATGAGTTGTATGTCGATATCATGGGGAACATAATTCAGATCTCTTCCATTTCATAATCAAAATTGTGAGACTATCGTTTGTTACTTTTAATATTGAATTCTAATTACTCTTTTTTAGTTGAGCACTAAATTAAACTCAATCGTCACTTACACAATTTTTATTTTTGGAAATATCAACCACAACTGAATATAAAAGGTAGTAGACTTATTTCTTATGCATTCCCTGTGGGATCGACCTCAACTCTTGTTCAGTTATGTAATTGTCTTTAACCATTTTATATTTCTTAAGTTAAGTGTAAGTTTGGACGTATCAAGGTACGACTTCCAAATCGAGACCAGACCTCGACATCTAACCTTGAAAACTAATCTAGGTCTTAGCCCCCAGATCTGAGTTCCAAATCAAGACCCGACCCCAACCCCGACTCCGACACCCAATCTGGAACCTGAAATGAAAACTAGGATCCAACCTGAGATCTGATATGGGACTAGAATCTAACAACCGACTCAGGTCCTAATTTCTGAACAGTGATCTAACCCTAATACTCGACCACAACGATCGATTCAGGACTTGATTTGATACCTGAATTGGGACCCAACCTCGGCTATCGACTCTAACACCAGACTCAGAACACCACCTGACATCTAACACAAGACCCGACCTCGATGCCCACTTCAGGATTATACTTTGAATGTTTACCTAAGACCTGACACTTAAATTAAGATTCAACCTCGAGCTGATTCAAGACTTAGAAGTTGGGTCTCTAATCGTGGTCGGGTTTCGAATTAAGAATTGAGAATCAGATTCCTAAATAGTATCGAGAATCGGTACGCGAGACTTGAGTTAGTGTGGAAGGCTGAGGTGTGAGGTTGAAAAAGAGTTGTAGAAAAGTTTTCTTATTTGTTAGATATAAGTCATATCCCTCAAATTTGAGCAATAATGCATAAATGAAATGAAAGGTTACCTTGATTTGGGAAAAAACTTCTATTATCGTCTGGGCAAGCAATAAAAAGCGTGTTGTTTGGGTTGAAAATCTCTTGGCATGCTAGTAAGAACCATTCCCTCAATACACCAGGCCCAGTAGCTTGTTCCTCTTCGAATTTCACAAAGAAACTTCCTGGCAGATAATCGAGTGTGGCAATATACTTGAACGAGTCTACTAGCAATTTAGACCTGTCAATGAGCATGTTATGCGGATCTTCTACGGTATCTTCAACTTCTGGAAGCATCATCATTGCCAATTGCCTCCGTATATAAAAGTTTGTTACCTCTTTGTGTTCAAAAAGCCACTCATAATGTTCTGATTCCTCTGCAAACTTAGCGATCAAATAACACAATGAACCCTTTACTTGCTTCATTATCCGCCAAAAATTATTCTCCATATTGATATACAGTTTAGATATAGTCTGTAAGTTTTTCAGGATATCAAGATATAGAGACCACCAAGGTACAATTAAAATGTTTTCTATTTCCTCTTTTGAATCCAATAACCTTAAAGAGCACGCCATTTTTGCGAGCAAATCATAAAACATTTCACACACAGGTAAACCAATATTTTCATAAAACTTTTCCTTCATGAGTGTCGTTGTCCATCAACTGTAAGGCATTCCACACTGGAAGCACAAATGCAGTAAAATCACGCACAAGGGTAAATGATAACCCCTCATATCCATATGTTCCCATAGTTGAGTCTAAGTCAAGGGATAACTCAGCTGATATCTCCAAAAGAAAAGGAAAAACATCGTTAAAAGATACCAACTTTTTCTGGTCATACTTGCACCTCGCGATCCCTGTGGACTCTATCATAGCCCCTAAACTACTCCGACAAATTTGATACAATCCATCATTAGTCTCCGTATTTTCTAGCAAAATTATACAAAATTTTAACAATATAAAAGCATATGTTGGTTTAAGGGAATCACTCTTAAGTGAATTAATAAATTCACGAATGGATGTATAAGCAATCATTGTATAATTTTGATTCAGATAAAGCGTTACCAAAGCTTTTGGAACAGAGGAGGAAATAAATAACTCAAGATGTTTTGTGGCTCGATCAAAATCACTTGGAGTGGCACTCAAAAAATTCATAACCCCGCTTTGTATCTGATCTGAAACTGAGCGGGGCTCAATGGAGTTATCTTTGTTTTTGCATAACTTTAAATTTTTTGAAGATAAGTCGTTCAATTGATCCATCGCGATGATAACATCACGCTTACACTTGTTGGTGCTGGTGTTGTTGATGGAAAACGGAGACATTCCGGTCAAATGGGGCAACAAATTTGGGTGGAGAAGAGAGCCGAGAAGCAGAGAAAGGCAGAGCAATGTGAAAAGGTGAGGGGAAAATTGGTTTAAAAGAGAAGGGAAGAGTTAAAATGGTAATTAATATTTTAAGAATTAATCCCCTTAATATGTTTTAAAACCATTTAAATCCTTTAAGTTAATAAAAGTGAAATTTTGGTACTACTTATGTATTTAAAAATTTATTTACATTGAGGTAAGTAAAAGTCACTTAGTGAGTCAATAGATCACATACTTGGAGACATGAATAGAGGAATGCCCGACTCTTTATTATGTATGCAAGTGATGAAAGAATGAAGTTTGGTGACAACATAACAAGAACTGTGGAAAAAAGAGTTGCATGCTTCTGTCAAATTTCAAACACTGCAATCTTAAAATCTACATCAGACACTAGAAACATATTTTTTTAAGAAATAGTAAAAACTACACCAGTTATCAAAATTAAGCATCCAGAATATGAATTTCTATTAATTATTTTTTGATTATTTTTTTAATTCAAAAGTCGATAAAATATCTGATGATAAGGACAAACGTTCACAATTGACAAACTTAAAGGACTTAATCGCTCATGAGTATATTTAAGTGATTATTTTTCAAATACCTTAAACATAAGGGACCATCTCGAAATTTGTCTCATACTTTCTGGTAGTGTAATCTAATCTAATTTAGTATATCTTTTGTGATTTTTACTGAATTTTTAAAAATTATTTTTGCCATTTGAATGTGAACATTTATATCTTTTTTGACTTTTTTGAAATTTTTTAAAACTTTTTTCGCCATTGTAATATGATTATTTATATATTTTTTGACATTTTTTGTATTTAAAAAAAATATTTTTGGTATTATAATTCAATATATTATAAAAAATAAATAATGCGATTTGGTATGGCATTTAATCTTTTTTCAATATTTTAATAGGATCTAGTTTGATTTAAATTTTCCTTTTTTTTCTACTATTACAATCCGATCTAGTGTACACACTCCTTTAAAAAAAAATCTCATTAGATTTGTTATTTTTGAAAGGCAATGCGATTTAGTACAACTTTTAGTTTTATGAAATCTTTTAGATTCTAGAACTTTCCACATTTTTTTATATGTATTATTTTTTTACATTATTGTAGTTCAATGACATTATCACGATTCAAACTGTTGTGAGTGACACCCACAATAAATCACCTTGTGGGAGAACTAACTACTAACCCAAACCGTAGCCCAATACATCCCTTAGAAAATTGAGTCATGAAAAAAATTAATAAGAAAACAGATTCAAACAATCAAGAATGGAGTCCCCATAAACTCAATCAATAGTCAGAATATTTATGCGAAAATAAACCCCTAAGAACAGAAAGTTGTAATACCAAAACTCTAAATAAGTCAAGAGTGGGGAGGCATCCCCGAAAACTTAGGACATATGAAATAGTCTACTGTCTTTGTCTGAAACGATTGACAAGAAAATGTAGAGGAAACCATGATAGTCTAAAAGAGTAACTCACCCTTGAATTTGAAGTCAAGCGTCCCTTAACTGAGGTCATGTATCAGTTACTGGAAAATGCCTTGTACTCAACAAGAACAAAAGAGGTGCAATATCAGTACACTACCACAATGTATTGGTAAGATTACATGTCCCGTCCAAACTATGAATATAAATAATTAACCACCATATAGTAAGAATAGTACAACATACATAACCATAACCATCGATACATAGACTCTCAGGCACAATATCATAAAATAAGCCTACACCTGGATGTATGTCCCACATGATCACAATTATAAATACGTTGTCCTCTCATGAAACCACAATACACATATTTGATCCTCTCATGGAACCCACACACTAACTGTTAGTGTATCGGTGTAGTACCCGAGCCAACCAGAATTAGTAATCATACTAGGTGTGGTAACAATTAGTATTCATGTACCAGAGTGGCACTCGAGTCAACCAACAATCACAAACAATCATGCACAAACACAATCACAATGAACAATAACTAAAGAACATCTTCCCAAAACATGTATAATATAAGTGATGGTATAATGCAGTAGACATACATACACACATAAACTAAAAAGCATACAATCGTCACCTTCCTTGCATCAAGCCTCTTGGAAACTCTAAAGAACCCGAGCTTTCCCTTTTTGAAATGTCTTGACTTGTTCTTGATCTAAAACAAACAATACATACAATAATCAATCAAAATGACCTAATTATATTCAAATTATAACCAAATCCCTAACCCTCAAGCCAGTTCATGATCATTTTACCTAAACTAGGCCTTTTCACCATTAATTCAAGTTAAGGACCTCCCCTAAGAGTGGTATCCTAGAATCAATTTGCAAAATTGGAGAGTAACGAACTTATTGTTATCAACGAATTCCGTGGAAAATCAAGTATGAACTGCCCTAATTTGCCTCTCTCGATTCAAGAACAATAATGCAAAAAATAAGATTTATGAAAAAATTTATGCATAAAATCCTTACTTACCCGCTATAGCGGCATTAACCCCATTTTTGCACATGGCCTCTTTACCGGAAACCTGCCACTATAGCATATTACACAAACTTCGTAGACACGAAAATCCCTGAAAATCCCATTTTTCACAACATACCTCCTTCCCCTGATCTCCCGAACTATCCCCTTCACACCAAAATTGATTCCGAGAGTTTTACTCACCAGAATTCGATTATGTGAAGTTATATGAGTTCCTTAATGTATGACTACTAGAAAATATAATACAAGCCTACACGTATCACCCCACCCATTCTCGGATGTCCCTATACCTCACCTCACCCAAATTCCCTCTGACACTAGCCTAGCCTAAAAGATTTAAGTCACTATCCGAAAACTTTTCACCGGATTCCTTTCACCATTGGCCTACTCATAACGACTGAATCAGACCGTTACAAACATGTTTGTATGATGTGATAGAATGTGTGATAGAGCGTGTGACTTTTAACCACATTTTTGTAGGTTCAATCCCCATAGGTGGCAAGTTCATTGGAAAAGGTTGTGGAATTGAGCCTCATTAGGACCATTGAAGAAAATGATTATATTAATCAATGTTATATATAATAAAAAATATGATTAAACTTTGGGTATTTTGTTGGTGTTATGAGCCAAAGGTCGTGAATTCGAATGACGCTAGGACCATTGAGGAAAATGATGATATCAATCAATACTACATATAATTATCCAAATTTGCAAGAATAGTAGTTTTAATGAAAGAAAAAAAAATCATTTTTTGGTGCAAAATTTCCTTTGTTGGTTTATTTTGGGAAAAAATACTGAAATACACGTCTTATGTTTTCCTTATTTCTAATATTCCCTTATATTTCTAAAAACCTCTAAAATCCCTTAATTTTATAATGTATCCGAGCTAGTTTTTAATGTATCCGAACTAGTTTTTAATGTATCCGAGCTACATATTATATATCCGGTTTATTTTATAATGTATCCGAGCTAGTTTTTAATGTATCCGAACTAGTTTTTAATGTATCCGAGCTACATATTATATATCCGGTTTATTTTATAATGTATCCGAGCTAGTTTTTAATGTATCCGAACTAGTTTTTAATGTATCCGAGCTACATATTATATATCCGGTTTATTTTATAATGTATCCGAGCTAGTTTTTAATGTATCCGAACTAGTTTTTAATGTATCCGAGCTACATATTATATATCCGGTTTATTTTATAATGTATCCGAGCTAGTTTTTAATGTATCCGAACTAGTTTTTAATGTATCCGAGCTACATATTATATATCCGGTTTATTTTATAATGTATCCGAGCTAGTTTTTAATGTATCCGAACTAGTTTTTAATGTATCCGAGCTACATATTATATATCCGGTTTATTTTATAATGTATCCGAGCTAGTTTTTAATGTATCCGAACTAGTTTTTAATGTATCCGAGCTACATATTATATATCCGGTTTATTTTATAATGTATCCGAGCTAGTTTTTAATGTATCCGAGTTGCATATTATGTATCCGGTTTATTTTATAATGTATTCGAGCTAGTTTTTAATGTATCCAAGCTACATATTATATATCCGGTTTGTTTTACTTTTTCAGGAATTAATATATTTACAAACTAAATAGGGATATATTGTAATTTCATATTAAAACTATGTGATTCCTAAAATTTATACATTTTGGTTGAAGTAGGCCGTTAAGAGATTGATATTTGATGGTATGGATTGTTGC